AAAAAAACCTTCATACTTTGCCTTTGTTTGAAATAGCTGATATATTCTCATATTTGTTGCATCGAAGTGACTGGACAACAGCCAGACTGAAAGAATATCGACTTGATAATGGTCATTTACTTCATAATTTCCGTAAAGCTTCATCATGTGCAGAATACAGAATTTAATTTCATTATGGCAGAGTGTATTCGGCAAATGATCCATGAAGGAAAATCCTTACAAGCCATGGTTTATTATTAAATCAAACTCTAAAATAGTTTCTGGTGTTTGTAACTGTAGTGTAAGTGTGAATTAATATGATTCACCAGGCGATCAGCAGATGCAGTTATCATAAATGTTTTCGTCTCGGGAAGATGACAGTCTTCGTTTGTCAATCGATCTATAACTGCGGTTGAAAGACGGCTGTCTCCAGTTATTGAACTAAAAAAATACTGGCGCAGGATGGAAAATGCCGTGAACAAACCCGGGAATATAGTTTGGCGTCCACTCAGGTTCCTGACGACGCATTCGAATCCACTGGCATTGAAATGATTTCTTGGACGAAAGAAATGTATGAAAAGTTACGCCTTTCATCTCAGGATATTTCGCTGTTTTTTTCTTTTTAATCAAACCCCAGGAATAGCATTACAATACCAGTTAACCATTTTGACCAATTCTTGCAAAACGTTTGTAAAAAATAAGACTTGGGCAACAGTAACTACTAGTATATTGCTTACAGCAGACGCCGCTCAAATTCAACCCCACCACGAACGTTGAACGGACTGTCATCCGGGTACTTTGAGAACGCCCTCTATCGAATTTCGTGAGAAAAATAGTAACTCGGAAATTAGGAATTGATTTCTTCACATTATATAAATATTAACATTGTGAGAAAAAAATCAAATATCAAATATTAAAGCATGTCTAGAATATATGCAGTTTCATGCATGAACAGTTTCATCTCATCTTCAATTATTTCTGTTGTATTTCTGCTCAAATATAATGCTTTATGCACCACTAATAACAGACTTTGGCTTTCTTGCTGCATGGTAATGTATCCTTCTACTCTGCTCACTAATTATACTAACATACCAAGCTCTGGACATCAATTTGAATATCTGCCCACGCTGCCCATATATGGAGTATTCAACCCCAAATATGGAGATATGATGTAATCGAATGGTGGAATATGCAAATAGCAGTCGTGTGCATACTCTGGGCCCGCCCATATATGGAAAATTCAACCCAAATATGGACATATGATGTCACTAAATGATTAAATATGCTAATAGAAGTAGTGTGGAAAACTCTGGAGCCTGTACATGTATATGAAAAATTCAACCCAAATATAGAGATATGACGCCACTAAATGGTTGACTATGCAGATGGCAGTGGTGTGTAACCCATATATGGGCATATGATGTCACTAAATGGTTGACTATGCAGATGGCAGTGGTGTGAAGCCCATATATGGACATATGATGTCACTAAATGGTTGAATATGCAGATGGCAGTGGTGTGGATATTCTGGAGCCCATATATGGAAAATTCAACCCAAATTCATTATATGATGTCACTAAATGGTTGACTATGCAGATGGCAGTGGTGTGTAACCCATATATGGGCATATGATGTCACTAAATGGTTGACTATGCAGATGGCAGTGGTGTGAAGCCCATATATGGACATATGATGTCACTAAATGGTTGAATATGCAGATGGCAGTGGTGTGGATATTCTGGAGCCCATATATGGAAAATTCAACCCAAATTCATTATATGATGTCACTAAATGGTTGACTATGCAGATGGATGTGGTCTGGAGCCCATATATGGACATATGATGTCACTAAATGATTGAATATGCAGATGGCAGGGGTGTGGATACTCTAGAGCCCATATATGAAAAATTCAACCCAAATATGGACATATGATGTCACTTAATGGTTGAATATGCAGATAGCAGTTGCTTGTTGTTCAGCAAATTGGATTTGTTTATGGATGTGCATATCTGCTTTAATTTAGAGTACTAAACAACAAAAGATAATGGTGCTTTTGTTGAGAACATTCAGATATATTTGTGATGATACTGATCAACGCAGGATTGTGGTATTGCAAATATGTCAACGATTATGTTACGTTTGTTGTCCATATTCAGTGCATGTCATCACCCATTGTACAAATGTTTTCGTTTAGACATGCACATTAGCATGCCATCTTGCCACCTTGCCACGGCAGTCACCAGTATACTGAATCTATCATCTCGTCCCATGATCCCATATCAACATCGCATGATGTAAATCTTACTAAGGTATAGATGTAAAGAAGAATTAATTAATTTTGTTATTTTATGCGAGAGATGATGGAGTAATAAAATTGAAAGTTCATAATAGCTGTGCATTTTATTCACAAAAGCATTTCTTAATGTCAGTTTCAGCTTTTTAATTTGAAAGGAACTCATTTATTTTGTAAAATGTTTATCAAATGGGACTACCAATCTCTGGAAAAGGCAGAAAGACATGTTCGTGCCGACATTGAAATATTTTTCCATATACTGCACGTTTGGTGACATCATTGTTACTTCTCAGGTACGCCACTGAGGGCAGAAGATATTGTAAAGGACAAAGATGATAATTCAACCGAATGTAAGGAAACTGAATTCACGGTGTCATCATTTTGTCTTTTTCATAAGGTGTTACTACGTAGTGTGATCACCATCCATACCGCTAGTCATGTAGAATTGCTATTGCAGTAGTATTCTTAAAATAGTGTGGCTTTGTAGTGCATTTCCTAAATGCATGTTAATATTATGGCTAACACGCATCATATTCTCGGGGCGGACATCCGGGCATTTTCACCACATGGCAACCAACATGGTGAAAACAAAGGCCGAAAACTCTTAGAAAACAGTACTTTGGGATGGTTGTTGAGACTCCCCTGAACAGTGTAACAAGATTAACCCTGCCTGTGTAATGCATAAAATTTGATTGTTTAGGATTATCGTTTTCTCAAATTTTCACCGTCTCTTTGCTCGACGCGCTCCTCAGCAGTGCACGCAGAGCCCTTAAAAATACTGGTACAGTGGTGCGCGTCTTAGCAACGTGGAACGTCTTGTGACGTAGCACCGCCCCGAGAATAGGTATAAAGCTCCAAAAACATTAACATCACTACAGCCAGACATAGCATTCGAACATCAAAGCAGTGTGTTAGCTTGCAAATAAGCCAGTTCAGACAAGCATCTGGCGTTTAATTTTAAAATTAGAACATAACACTGTAATTTTTTCCCATCAACAGAGTCGAACATGTTGTGGAAGATACCATTATATTGAGGTGTAAACCACTACACAGCCTATTAAAAAATCATGTCAGATATGTGTTTTTGTCAAGATTCAAACAAAAATGGCTGACTGGTGGCCATTTTGATTCCTTACTAATATGTTTCCTGATTCAGTAGAAAGTTTGCACACAAGTACTACTGTACTATAGCTTTAGTGTCCTGAAAGACAAATTTTTTTGAAATTTTCCAAGTCATGACAAATATGAAATTTTGTAACGGTAACACTAATATGGGGTTCTAGGATGTGTTATTTTGTGATTTCATCAAATTTGTCAAAATTCCTAAAATCAATCTATAAACATGTGTGGAACCATTTCTGGATGTTTTTTTTCACGATTATTTATATTTGGTCACAGGTGCATGTCATATCAAAAAAAAAGTAGCTGATTTTAAGCCATGTTGGTTTCCTTGAATTATCCCAACATCTAGTTATAATATTTCTACACCTTTCATTGTGTATTAAAATGATCACTAAAAACTGGATGAAGACTTTGACATTGATAATGACTTATTACTACATGTAGTCAATATTTAAAGCGGGGGAGTCGTCACCTGCGCATGCGTCAGATAGCCATAGCATGTTACTGTTTACAAACGAGAGTCTACCCATGAGCCTTTGCGTTTTTAGCGTGTGTTGTTATCTTGGGACTTAATTTCAGCATGTGCGCAGGTGACAACCCTCTCGCTTTAAGTTTGCCTGAGGTAACAACCAAAAATTCCTCCACAGATTGTTTTTTGTTGAGATTTTGTAACTGTGCGACCACCTGCATTCAGTGACGGGAATGTATTGTTCCTACATCGGATGGAAACAAAAGACAGCATTTGAATATGATGTATCTGTACCATATGTTTTACATTGGTCACTTTGTTATTCTCAAATAACGTTTAAATTTCAACTGTTGGAAAGTGCACATAAGGTTCAAAATTCTTACACAGTTTGTTTTTGTTGTTGAGATTTTGTAACTGTGCGACCACTGGCGTTCAGTGATGGGAATGTATTGCTTCTACATCTGATGTAAACAAAAGACAGCATTTGAATATGATGTATCTGTATCCAAATAACATTTAAATTTCAAACGTTGGAAAGTGCATATACGTTTCATAAAGAATTAATGTAAATATAACTTTCTATAGAACCTGAAAAGCTATTGTTTTCAGTGTTAAAATATATAATATGTCGATAATAGACTTTACTCAGGCTTTGTATTTGTTGTGTGATAACCTATGACCTTGCAATGTGTCAGGTCATTTATTGTTCATAGTAGTACAGAAACATTAATTTTTTTTTTTTTTTAATCATTATCATGTGATTACTTTCAAGCCTGTGAAACAAAATTATGTCTTTTTGGTCAAGAATTAACCAAAAAAATCTCAATAAAAGTTCAAAAATCATAAAAAATACATGAAAAGTTGTAATTTTCTGGGAAATATTTTGTTCAAAAAGGGTAATATGTGAACTAGGATAAACAGCATTTAGCTGATAGTTTCCAATAAATGTTGACTCAGAAAATTTACTTTCAGTACTTGACTGTGTCTTTAATAAAATATACTGCGAGAAGGAGCTGTTCATATTATATCATATCATTTTTTTTTATATAATTTAAATTTAAGTCAAAAGACAGGGTGAAACATATTTGGTAGCAAACATGCATGAAGACCACCACACATTGTTGCACTAGCAATGGTGTTTCAACTTTTGGTTGTGGAGAGGTGGATTAGGCTAATCAATTTTTGTTCACTAAACTAGACTACTGTAAAATTTGTATTAGAAGCTGCGGCTTCTATTAAAATGGTAGAATGCAACAGAAGGGATTCGGCTTCTATTAGAGCATCTACACATATGAGAAATTATGAATGTTTGGTTCTCAATTACTCAAAAAGAATGGGTGCAACTTATATTAGGGATGTGGCTTCTAATACAGATTAGAGAAGTGAAAAAGAATTGATAATTTATTACAGCTTTAATATTAAATAACTATGAGATTATTCTCGTAAATAATGAATTCCTGAGTTACATGCTATAGTCTAATCAGACTTAAAAGGAATTGTATTAATTTGATTCTGTATACAAATGGTAAGATATTCACACTTGGCAATTTTTGAGGAAGAGTACATATGGCAATTCAACAACAGTAATCGGTACAGTAACTGTTGGGATGAGTGATGAGTTGCCTGGGAAACAGACATAAGGCAACGTTGCCCGATCTATCTTGGTGACATGATTATGTCATAAATACAAGGCAACTCGTAAGACAGCACATGCATTGCTAGGTGCGTTGCTGCGTACATATCCTTGTGTAAAATGGCCTTTAAGTTAATACTTCTTGATAGAAAGGTAGAGTAAACATTATTAAAGTAACTCAGCAGTGATGTTGTACAAACTTAGTGGTAGCTCTTTCTTGGTGCTGCAATAACTCGTTTACTCAGAACTTGAATATGAAGTTGTGTGTAATCAAGCCAAGTTTGTGTTGGTGTGTTATGCATGTATAATTTCAATAGTTTATGGTGCTTAATGCATATTTAATGTAATGCAGCAATTTATTCAATTTAAAATAAAAAGTTTTACACTTGCTTGGCTTTTCAAGCGGCTATCCCGTTTTAAGTGCGGGGTTTTCAGTCACAATTACATGTCAGTTTGTAACTAATAAACCATTCCATTGCAATGAATGAAATAGGATACCAACTACCATTCCGATGCTTGAAAATAAGAAATTGTAATCCAGCTTGTTGTAACTCGGCGTCCTGATATAAAATAACGCCAGAGTGACTAACCATGTCACTGATAACAACCGTAATAAGCTTTATCATATTAAAATAGTATTGTTGTATTCATATTTGTCTGTGTCAATCGAAAGCTGTGTATATCTTATCATTTAAATGATCCTCAAATTTCTATTGGGACTAATAATTAGTAAATTTTTTAAAAATGTGAACCTGTATTTCTGTGATGTAAATATGGTGACATGAGATAAGGATGCAAGGATAAACATCACCATGACAATAGGACAGCATTCCCATTGATTTGGCACTCAAATATGTTATTCTAATCTGTAATCATCAAAATCTACGATCGCAAAATGAATGGAAATGTTACTTCTTAGATGGTGACATTTTGTGAGCAAATATACTGAGAAATAGATGGCACATTATCATGTGATGTCTTCATTGGTCATGGTGTGAGTCATGTCATAGTATTGTTATGTTTGCTGTCACTCAATGTTGGTTCATATGTGTATAACTGGTGTATTATTTCTCAGGTCACCATGATAGTGGAATAACATTGGAGCGTTCTGACAGTCTGGTAGGATTTCAAGTAGTTGGTGATAACAAGGAAGTGGAATACTATTTTGCTAGTGACGCTAGTGCCATCATTGAACACACTAATCGAGTCATCTACTTAGAGGACAATGATGTGGCTGCTGTCAAAGATGGTGGTAAGTGTGGGCATGTGGTACATAGTACATATGTTAATATTTATGTTCACTAATTACTTGGATTTAAAGGCCCTGCAATTGTGTGCAAACCTAACGTGTGAACCAAACCCCCTGTATAACCAAACCCAGTGTAAACCAAACCCATTTCGTTTCTGATCGGTATTTTAGTTGCAGCTTGTAGTCAATTTAGATTAGAAAATATCCACTGGGTTTAATTTTAGTGTGTTTGATGTTGCAGAAATATTTCCTGACTTTTTTTTGTACATGCAAATTGCAAGTACTAGTGCCACAGAAGCCATATTTATGTTTAGGACTACATGACAGGGCTGTGCAGCCATCTCCCTATCAAATACCTATGCGCTATCCTGGCGTCAACCAGGCTCGGTCAAACACAAGCACCTGCAGACCTTAATCAAGGTTCCGATAAAGTCACATTCGTTAGTGAATGAACCTCGGCCAGTGGAATAGGCCTTCCCATTGAGTCTGTTGCACACTCACCCAGGGTAGGGGGTCTACAATTCTTGGTGTTCAGCCTGAGGTAGGATTTGAACTTGTTGACATTCAATGTAATTGCCAATGTCTGATGCTTTAAATGTTATTGTTGTGTTGCAGGTTTGTCCATTCACAGAATTAAGAGAGAAACTGGAGTGGCTCAGTCTCGTGAAGTACACACATTGAAAATGGAAATACAGCAGCTTATGAAAGGTACTGTAAAATAATTAGTTTTCACTGGGTTTAAATTTCACTGATTTACCATTTCAGGCATATTCAGAGTGTGTTTTAAATTCAGTTTTATCATTAACATAATGTGTTCTATGCTCAATTTTACATAATCACTGGGTTTTAATTTAGCGCATCTTCCAGTCAGCGAAATAAGCAAAATTAAAACCCAGTGAATAATTAATAACCCTTTTACAGTATATAGAAACTGGTTATCTCGTCTAATATTCTTGCTAAACTTGTCAAATGTGAAATGGAATTCACAAATGAAATAAATTAGCATACTTGATGTGAATTCACTATTTGAAATTCAGTTGGGTATAAAATTTATGAAGTTTAGATTTGTCGTGTATTCAACTTATTAACTCTTTAAACACCGAAGTCACCATTCACGATTTTCAAAACGGTACCTAATTTTTTCATTGTTTTTCCAAAATTTTGATAAAGACAGGAAATTATGTTCATTTGGTTCAAAAGTATTAAAAAAAAGTTAGTAAAATATGTAAAAAGAATTTTTTTTCAAAGTGTTCAACAGCAAGTACTTGTAGCTGTGAGAATTACGTTCTTAACTTATTCACCACCTGTTCCCTCCCTCTTTTCATCACAAATTCACAAATAGTTCATGTCTTCTTTTTCCCACAAACAGGAAATTTCAGTACATTCATGCAGAAGGAAATCTTTGAACAGCCAGAGAGTGTTACTAACACAATGAGAGGAAGATTGAATTTCGAGAACAATACTGGTAAGAATGCCATTTCTGAAAATGTGTTATTTTTCACTTTACAGCTATTGCAGCTAAAATCAAATACTATCAGATAAAAAATACTGTTTCCTGTTTTAGAGTGCCTATAGTTTTTGCCAAATCAATGTGAAAGTAAATTACTCTTACTAGTTGATTCAATTTGCTGTTTTTTTAGTGGTTTCCTACGAATTCAGTCTACTGGTTGTACCATACTTGTCTGATACCATTTCATATTTTCAGGAGAGTGTTTGCTCTAGAACCTCACCCGGGCTATCTATTGATGCATTTTTTTCAGAAAGCAATATTTCTGTCAAAACAATCACTTACAATTTTTCATGAGCAAGGTTTTGGTTGGGTATGGACAAATACTTGTATATAGATACGTCATTAAAACTTGACACTACCTAAATTATTTCTTTTATTATTTTACAGTGTATTTACATTCACTTTAGAATGATAACTTTCCATTTATGAGTTATTTCTGCATGTGTAATTTTCAGTTTTGCTGGGTGGATTGAAAGACCATCTGAGTGAAATACGTCGCTGTCGTCGGCTGCTGTTCATTGCTTGTGGGACTAGCTTTCATAGTGCTGTTGCTGTGAGTATGCATTCAAAATAAACTATAATCTCAGGGGCAGAGCTACATCACAGACGTTCTACGTTTCATGGATGCACACCACTGTATCATGTATTTCTATGGGCTATGTGCAAACTGCTGTGCAATGCCGGCTGAGAAGTCGGTGAAAACAGCAAGAAACAGTACAAGGACAAATCAGTAAAAGAAAAATAATACAAACATAAAAGCACAGTACCAAGTTGTATAGTGTCATATATTATGAGCAAATCCTGCTACAATTGTACTACACACCGGGTATCCATCAAAGGAACGCCCGTTTTTTTTTACCGGACATTGATCGTTTGATATTGTCCTTAAGGAAGTACGCTTTTAAGTTTATATCAGACAATTGACATTTAACAAGTCATTGAAAATGACACAGTCCCCGTTAAATTTTTGAAAGTTCTCTTTGAGCTTGTCATATTAAAGCGGAGGGGTTGTCGCGAGCGTGTCCTTGAAACTTGAGTTCCAAGTGGCGTATACAACAGATTGTTTATTTACATCAAAACACGTGTTTCGTGTAGTAGTAATATGGCCGAAAATAAAAACAACCGTTATTCGGACATCTTTGATCTGATTATGAAACACACTGATATGTATGATGTTTGTGCCAAATACGAATGAAAATGGTACATAAATTGTGGAAATAAACTAGTAAGGCCAAAAAGTCAGATGGCTGTCAATCGGCCATCCTTGACCAGATTTTGACATGCATTCTAACATGTATAAAGTACATGTGCCAAATTTGAATGAAAACTGACAGAGCATGTCCAAGATATCGCATAAAAAACAACAACAAGATGCCTACCAGACGACCATCTTTGATCCAATTGCGAAATAAATCGTCATGGACATGTATCCTAACATGTATAATCTATGTACCAAGTTTGAATGAAAACTGACAAAGCATGTCCAAAATGCAACATTTTCAAAAAACAAGATGGCTGCCAGTCGGCCATTTTGAATCAAATCGCTAAACTACTGCATGTGCATATGTCCCACATAAAGTACTAGGCACATGCAAAGAATGAACGGAATCGGGATTCTGAGATATGACTCTGGACGGACGCACAAACGCACGCACGCACAGACGCACGGATGGAGACCGAATTATAAGTCCCCGTTTTTGGACTTCGTCCGAACGGGGACTAATAAGACCATTTGAGGTCATTCATGGAGAGCATTGACCATGAGTTTATGATTCCTCTATCAAATTATATATTCAATATTTCCATGGTTACACTCATTTTGTAATACCATGATAAATATTAGGTATTAATGAGTTAAACATTATGAAGAAATTTAGTTTAGATAAAGTGACCTATTTGGGCTGTGACATGCATGTAACACCTGAAGTAACATCTGTGTGGCCTCCGGTGTGTTAAAATTTTATTCTGGGAAAATAATTGTTTCAATGACTTACACAGGAATTCACTTTAAACTACTAAAAATATTCTGAGTTTCAGTGATGATTTAATTCCTACTAAGTGCCTGAATAACCCCAAAAATTTAGATGTTGCTTGTATTAGCTGATGTTCAGCCCTCTAGTGGCAACAGAACAATAATTTCTATCTAAACTGTGTACTGTGAAAAATTTCACTTTCATAAGGATCACTTTTGTCTGCACATTATTTAACCAACCAAATTGTGTTTTCTTTGGACTTTACAGACTCGCCAACTGATGGAAGAACTGACTGAATTACCAGTCATGGTGGAACTTGCCAGTGATTTCTTGGACAGAAAGACACCAGTGTTCAGAGATGATGTCTGCTTTTTTATAAGCCAATCTGGTGAGTTTTTAGAATTGTTTAAACTGTGAAAGATATGTCTTGCACAATTTAACACACTTGCACTTGCACTTGTACCAGTTGGTAATAGTTGTTTTGACTTGCTATTTTTCTAAGTCTTATTATGCTAGACCACAGAAATACCATGCTTGATCTTTCATGAAAACAATTAAGGTTAATGATATGACAGTTATTTATATTATAACAAAAGGTTGCTTTTTTGATCTTGGTGTCTGGCACATATTGGTTAGGGTTGCTGCTTTGATCTTGGTGTCTGCCACATATTGGTTAGGATTGCTGCTTTGGTCTTGCTGTCTGGGACATATTGGTTAGGATTGCTGCTTTGATCTTGGTGTCTGGCACATATTTGTTAGGATTGCTGCTTTGGTCTTGCTGTCTGGGACATATTGGTTAGGATTGCTGCTTTGACCTTGGTGTCTGCAACATATTGGCTCCGGCTGCTGCTTTGATCTTGGTGTCTGGCACATTGGCTAGGGCTGCTGCTTTGATCTTGCTGTCTGGCACATTGGCTAGGGCTGCTGCTTTGATCTTGCTGTCTGGCACATTGGCTAGGATTGCTGCTTTGATCTTGGTGTCTGGCACATACTGGCTAGGATTGCTGCTTTGATCTTAGTGTCTGGCACATATTGGTTAGGATTGCTGCTTTGACCTTGGTGTCTGGAACATATTGGCTCTGGTTGTTTTTTTGATTATTCTTTTTGTACTTAATTACTGATTCTCTGTTACTATAGGTGAGACTGCTGACACGCTGATGGCTCTACGTTACTGTACAGAACGTGGTTCCCTAACAGTCGGTATCACTAACACCGTTGGCAGTTCAATATCACGTGATACACAATGTGGTGTGCATATTAATGCTGGTCCTGAAATTGGTGTCGCTAGTACTAAGGTGAGTTCAATTTTGCACCATGTTCAACATGTCCTGTCTACCCTGAATGATTTCTCCTTAAGATAGTCTGTACAAAATGGTCAAAAAAAAAATTATAATTTTGTTTCTGGTTGGCATGCGTATCTGTTTAACAGAGGTCATTCACGACTTTTTAGTCCCCGTACTACTTTATCTGTCACCTATGCACATGCAGTGGTTTACTGATTTACTCAACGATATCCGACTGGCAGCCATTTTGTTTTTTGAAAATGTGGTATCTTATGCATGCTTTGTCAGTTTTTTTCAAATTTGGTACATATATTATACATGTTAGGATACATGTCTGTGACGATTCATTTCACGTTTGTATCAAAGATGACCAGTGGACTGCGGCCATTTTGTATTTTGAAAATGTGGTATCTTATGTGCATGCTTCGTCAGTTATTGTTCAAATTTGGTACATACATTGTACATTTTAGATTACATGCCCATGACAATTTATTAGTCCTCGTTCGGACGAAGTCCGAAAACGGGGACTTATGTTTTGACCTCCGTGTGTCCGTGCGTGTGTGCGTGCGTGTATGTGTGCATGCGTCTGTGCGTGCGTCCGGACCTGTATCTTAGAAATGCCTGGACCAATCACAATGAAACTTCACACATACATCATACATGATATCATACATATGCACGTCAATTTGTTTCACGATCTGATTCAAGATGTCCGAATGGCGGCCATTTTTGTACTAAAAATCATCAAAATCAAGCATTTCCTCGCTGTTTACAGATGGATTTTGTTCAAACCTTGTATATACGTTGGACATTATAGGACCTTGATGAACATCATTTTTGTTTTACAATCTGATTCAAGATAGCCGAATGGCGGCCATTTTTGTGCTAAAAAATCAAGCATTTCTCGGCTGTTTACAGATGGATTTTGTTCAAACTTGATATATACATTAGACATTATGCGACCTTGATGCAAATAATTTTGTTTTTCAGATAACATTTAAAATGGCCGACTGTGCTAAAAAATCATCAAATATAAGCATTTCTGGCATTTATGGATGGATTTCGTTCAAACTTGGTACATACATTAGACATTACGGGTTCCTGATGCACATCTTTTTATTTTTCAGATCAGACTCAAAATGGCTGTCCGGTGGCCATTTTATTTTAATGAATGGGTTTCCAGACCCATATGTCTGACTTGTTTTGACTGATTGTGTTCAAATTTATAATATTCATTATACATCATGTCACAGATATACGGATATATTGGTTTGACGATCCTTTTCAAGTGGCCTTATAGTGGCTATTTTTGTGCTAAAAACTTGTTTTATTTTTTAGATCGGATTCTGAATGGCTGACTCGTGGCCATTTGTTTTAATGAATGGGCTTTTAGAGCCATATCTCTGACATGCTTTGACTGACTATGTTCAAATTTCATATATTCATTATACATATATTCATAATGGCTGATTTTGTTTTAATTAATGCTGTTCGAGAGCAATATCTCTCAATACTCGTTTGACAATCAGATACAAATGTCAATCATTTAAATGTTAAAGAATCATCATATTCCTGACATGTTTATATTCCAGCTATATTACTATAAACAAAATTTTATGTCTTAAATTTGATAACTAACGGGGACTGGGCCATGCATGGCTTGTTTTAAAATCAAATCAAATGGTTGCCTTGCGGCCATCTTGCTTTTTGATCATACGACTATATCTCCAATGCTTAGGGATGATTTTCAATCATATTTGGCACATACATCATACATATAGGAATACATGTTCATGTCAGTTTATTTCATAATAAGATCAGAGATGGCCGACTGGCATCCATCTTTTTTTTTTGAAAATGTGGTATCTTGGACAGGATTTGTCGGTTTTCAAATTTGATTCAAACATTATACATGTTGAGATACATGTCCATGATGATTCATTTCATGTTTTGTACGTAAGCCTAGACAAATGAAATTCAGTTTGGATACAAAAAGTACATGAATAGCATATCCTGTTTAATTTCTGACCATATATTATGATTTTGGAAGAGTTTTTTAATACATCTAATTTCTGTTGATACTAGACTAGCCAATTATTCACTCTAAATTATTAACTATGCTTTTGGTGCATATTACTTTATTTTTAGCATAAATAACATTTCCCCTAATTCCAACGGGGACTATGTCATTAATATTGACTTGTTTTATTTGTTTTAAAGGCCTATACCAGTCAATTCATAGCGCTTGTGATGTTTGCTTTGATGATGTCTGAAGACAGGTTATCTATGCAAGCGAGAAGAACGGAAATATTCAATGCACTCGAAAGATTACCAGGTTTGTAAATTACCACACTGGATTAAATATGGTTTAAATGTTTTCAATGGTAAACACAAATACTGGTGGGGGAGGGTGAAGATTGTACAATAACCAATTTGTGGAAGACAAATCTGCTCTAAATTCACAATTCAGCAAAAAACTCACATTTGTTCATTTCATGATAACTTATCTCATTTTGCTAAATATTTTTGTCATTTTTTGGTAAAAATGATATTTTCAAATTCTTGTTGAAAACAGCAAGTCTGATTGCTTTGATACTATGTATAGTATTGTCCATTTTCTAATGATATCTTCTGTTCTTTAATTGAAATGTGCATTGCTAACAGCGAAGCTATCTCAGTCGAGAGGCTGCTTGTTTTATAAAAAGTTCACATACCATTCTTAGTCATCTGATGTTAAGTACAGTATGTGTTCTAATTTAGGCATTACTCTATTTACGATGAGTGGAAGGCCTTAATTAATCTGGTTCCAAAATAGGCATCTCAGATCATAGAAATTTGACAGTTTAAAAAAAAAAAATGTTTGATAACAAAAAATATGTGACATGTTCACTTAGTGAAGTCATTCATAGGTTACTAATTACACCAAACCAAATGAATCATAACAAAGGCTTACAATTACAACTACAATTAATTAATATATTCTATCCCAGAAGTGAAAGTGTGTAAATCAGTTCAGCTTGTACGTTTCCTCATACATGAATGTTTTCAACTGTGCACAAACACTTGATTTAAAACCATATCCAAAACTATTTTTTTATGTACCCGTTGACTGAAGCTGCGCCCTTTGACCTGATAGATCAAGCTAGTTATTAACCAATAACATTTCTGGGTGATGCTGCCAAAAGTATCCCGGAGCGAAAACTCGTAATCTTTATAATACTTCAGGATGGATCATATTAATTTAGTTCATAATCCATCATAATTTATTCTTGTTACCATGGAGCTAATCTCTCATCTCTCAATCCCTATAATAGGTCTGGTAAAGGAAGTTTTAAAGATGGACGACGAGATTCATAAGTTAGCGCAGGAGTTGTACCAACAGAAGAGTATCCTGATAATGGGAAGAGGTTTCAATTACTCAACCTGCTTGGAAGGGGCATTGGTGAGTAGATGTATCCCACGTTTGAGTCATCTAGCAATTTCTAAAAGACTATCGCTAGTTATACTAAAAGTGAGAGACGTGTACAATAGGTCACTTTTTAGTCCCCTTTCG